AGAGAGAGAGAGAGAGTCACTAAATTAGGGATCACAGAAAAAATAATACCTGAATGTGGCTTTCGATGAGAGAGAGAGAGTCACTAAATTAGGGATCACAGAAAAAACAATACCTGAATGTGGCTTTCGATAAATCTCTAAATATCTAAGAAAAGGAGATCAGAAGAAAAAATGGTGAGGTCAATAATTAGAGAAGAAAAAGTAGCACAGCTTCTTTAAGAATAAGAGAATTGTCTCAGCAAAAAGAACAAAATTGGGGCAAAATGGAGGTTCTACAAGAGAGACAAAGAGATAAAGATGGTTATAAAAAGGGAAAATTGGAGGCCACCAAAAAACATCATTGATTTTTGAAGCATCAGAGAGCTTCTTTTTCCTCTCTGATCATTTATATCCTTCTCTGAGAGATCTTGATCATTATTAGAGGCCAAAGCTAGGGTTTGTTTTATTCGTGAATTTAGTCTCTCTGTCTCTGTCTCTCTCTCTCTCTACAAATGTTCGAAAAAAGCCGATTTTATAACCTTTTAGCTAAAAAGTAGCAGCAGCAGAAGAGTGACCGGAATGCAGCGAGTTTGAAGATTTATGGTGAACAGTAGCAGAATTCAGGAGATTACCTGAAGGCACTTGTGGAGACTCGTCGGCCTGGTAACTTAGATCGTTTCTTGGAGTCCACAACGTATTGCGTTCTTGCTCAGTATCTTTCTACGATGAGTAGCAGGGGTTGGAAAACATGCGATATAGATTCTCAACCCTTCCTCACCATCGAATACATATTGTAGTCTTTCACGAAATGGAGCACATATGGTGCAGGTGCACATTTAATTTTAAATGGTTGTGAGCTAGTTGTATCCAAGGGAGTCATTCAAGGAATGAAGCGCAATTAGGCCTGAGTGCCTTTATGTGGTGTGTAATATGGATGAAGGCCATAGATACGCCCTGTCTCAATCCATTTTGTGCACCATTTATCACGAGTTACGAGCAGGGAGCAAACCTTAGAAGATGTTGGGGAACATGCGCACTCCTTTTGCTAGCCATTATGTATATGGCTGGATAGGTGCTTACTTCCCAGGCACCTACAAATCCCCAAGTGTGAGTAACGCCGATGTTTTCCATATCTACTTCTTCTTATGGGCCGTCAGGTAGTATTTCATTCAGACCATGATGCAAGGAAGCTATTTCATGGCAAAGACATTTGTTAGAGAAGCCATTCCTAATAGAGGGTCCTGAGCATCATCTTTATGCTGACGAACAACCATAGCAGGCTGGCTTGGATCCTACCACAGAGAGAGGCATGATGTACCTACAGAGTGTTCGAGGAGGCCTTCTTCCTCTAAGGATCGGGGTTCACAGGTATATCGAGCTCTATAATCCCCATTGATTTTCCAGACAACATAGAGTAAGGTTGTCATGTAGTTTATGAGTTCACCAGAC